AGGGAGAGAGGGGAGAGGAAGAGAAGGAGAATAGAAAAGAAAAATATCTACACTTCGAACTATCCCCAATTACTATGAAAATCTAAAAATTAAAACAACAATGTGTGTGGCTGGAAGGCTGGCTCAATGGTTAAGTGCACTTGTTGCTTTTGTAAAGGGCCTGGATTTGGTTTCAGCACCCACATAATGGCTCACAACCATTAAAGTATTTAATCCAGTCCTAAAGGCATCTGATGACCTCTTCTGACCTCCATGAGCCCATGCAGTCAAACACTCACACACATAAAATAAGAATAAATTAAAACAACAAAAAACAATGTGCACAAAGTCTCAAAACAGTGATACTGTATCCTTCTACCAAACACTCAACCATACCAATTAAGCAAACATACCAATGTAACTCTTAGTGTGAGCATTTGAAAGTTGTGCCAGTCGACAACTATGCTGAAAGGAAGTCTCAACTAAAACACAGAAAGCAACAGTGTCCTTCATCCATCTCAGTGTTAAACTTTTCTTCAAGGAAAGAGCTTGCCAGTTTATTAAAGTGTTTTATCAGATTACCTCCTTACTTGATAGGAAATTCTAAGAGGGTGAAAATCCTGGGGTATAACTAGAGTTTAATCTTGTGGTTCCCCACTAATCATAATGGAAGAATAATGGAAACAGAAGCACCGCATTTTCTTTTGCCTTAGTACAAGCAGATCTAAAAGACTATCCAGTCAGTTTTCCTGAGCTGTTAGCTTGGGAAGCATCACCCAAAAGCTCCCAATTTCCCCCTGTACAAAACCTTTATCAGGGTCTTTCATGAACATTCCAGGTGTTTCTATTTCCTGAGTTCTTATTTAATTCCCATAAACATTTCCTGGGAATACTCTATGTAAAAGACATTTTTCACAGAACAGTCACACTGCTTTATTTTGGGTCACATCAACTCTGTGATGACATCTTCATTTTGCATATAATTAAAGGTGAGAATAGCTAAATATCTTGTCCCTGGTTATAGAGACGACAGACCAAGTCTGCATTGAACTGTTTTTAGACTACTCCACAATTATACCCTACCACTTTATTTGATAATTAATTACCCACCATCCTTGTAATAGCTTTGTATCTGACTTTCTCTCTTCCATTTCCTCATTTTTCCTGCATCTATGACTTTCAGAGCAATAATGATATTGAACTTTTACAGTGACCTTTAGGAGATTCATTTTAGCTGTTTACATGATAGAAGCATGACCAGTGGTAAATTTGGGCTAGTCTTAAGGATTCTTAGATGATTTCACTGAAAATAGAGAGGATAGTAAAAATTTATTATAATGCTTTCCATCAGCTCATTTTGTCCTCGGAGGATCATGGGGCCAGCACACTGTTCCTGATGCACACATGAAAAAGCCAAGGACTAGAGGCTGTCCACCTTGACTAAAGTTGCAAGCTAGTTGGTGAAGAACCAGGTCTGCAAAGCCAGGCTACCTTGCTGAGTGTCTACTACTTTCGTGTTCGAATTGTTCCTCCAGGGCCAGATGACACCTAATTGGAATCTATCTACATAGTGGAAGGGGGGGCGAGAATAATTTCTGCCGGTGACTTCTTGGATATGGCACCGAAAGCCCAGACAGCTAGCAAAACGCGACAAATGAAACGGACACATCTGACAGGGTGGAAAGCAGATCTACAGAAGGAAGAGAACCTCGGCAAGCTAGAGATGTCAAGGAATTGATGCCCCAAATGTATAAAGAGCCCACAACAGTATCCATGAAAACAGCCTGACTTTTAACTGGGCAAACAACTTAACACATTCCTCCAAAGGATATACCAATGGTCAAATAAACACAAGAAAACTGCTCAACATCCTTAATCATCAGGGAAACGCAACCAAAGTTACAGTGAGGTATCACCTGATAGTCACTAGACTAGCCACAATCAAAACAAACAAAAACTGGGGGTACCGAGTTGTAACGAGACACTGGGAAAATGCACCCTTGGTTTGTTGCACAAAACGGTGCAGCCGTTCGGGGAAAACAATGTGGTGGTTCCTCAAAACTCAAAATTAGAATTACTCTGACCCACTAATCCCACTTCTGGGTATAAATGCAGAACTGAAAGCAGGCCTGCAGACACTCAGGCTCATGGGAGCAGCATTCACCCAAGCGCCCACCAACACAGGTGAATGACTAAAACCCGTGGTGGCTAGTGAGAGACTACAGACCTGTGTGCAGCCCACTGTGTAGGGAGAGAACCTTTCCCCTACAAGTTGTCATCTCATCTTCACCTAGGTGTTATGGCACCCCCCCCCACACACACACATAAGTACCTCAGCAAAGAAAATGTGATATTTGAATATGCATGCGCAGACTCACACCAATACACATGTGTGTATATAAATAACAGAATGCTAGTTAGCATTTTCAAAAAAGGGAATCTGCCCAAGCGATAGTGGTGCACGCCTTTAATACCAGCACTCGGGAGGCAGAGGCAGGCGGATCTCTGTGAGTTCGAGACCAGCCCGGTCTACAGTGAGTTCCAGAACAGTCCCTGCTGTTTACACAGAGAAACCCTGTCTTGAAAAACCAAAAAAACCTTTTTTTAAATTAAAAAGTGGATGAAATCTGAAGTTATTAAGTGAAATAAGGCTGGCACACAGAGTTAAATTCTGTATGATTTCTCTTAGATCAGGTACCTAATTAGTCTAATCTATGAAAAGTGATGGTAGAGTGAAGGTAAAGGGGGCTATTTGACTGGTCAAGGGTGTAAGATAAAAAAAAAGTACAGATCCTATGGTGCACGATGTGAAAATACTTAACACTAACAAACTGAACACCTAAAAATGATTAGAATAATAAATCTATGTTGCACTTTTTACAGTTAAAATTAACTTTTACTATCTTTTCCTGTCCTAATCCAATGTAACAAAAAGATAAAGTGAAAAACAGCAGAAACAAAAGACTTCAACAATGTAAAAAGAATTAAGAAAACAATAAAGTCAAACAGGCACCCTGTTTATTAAGTTTCCTCTTAATTCTCTTAACCTGGAAATACTAGACATCGGCTAGACAAAACGGTAGTAGTTAAAGGCCATTTGGAGATAAAACTCAGCTTCTATTCCGACTTTGCCACTTACTGTGCGACCTTGGGCAAGGTATTTTTATTCACTCATTCATTCGTTCGTTCGTTTGTTCATTCATCCATTCATTCATTTGCACATGGGTTAACTGTTCTGAGGAATAAACCAGGGTCACACAAAAGCCTAGGCACAACTCCTGGCTCTTTGTGAGTGTTGTGTTGACTATTACCTCGAAGCCTACAGAGTTAGACAATGAATAAGGTGAATTAAAGTAGGGTAAGTCCATGCCCTACTCTTTAGCGATTTGCCCAACTTGCGGGTACTTACGGTGTCATATCAAATCAGACACTAGACATCATTAATAACTTCACCATCCCTGTCAAAAGTGGAGCTGTCTCGTAAAGGGGCTCTGCCCGTCTCCCTGGGAAAAGCAGTGTCATCTAAGGTATTGGAAGATACTTAGGAACAGCTACATACAGAGCCCAGGGATAGTGAAGCCCGATAAGCCACCGGAGTCCCGCTCCTGTCACTTCACCTGGGACAAGGCTGATCT